CCTGCTGCTAGAAAGCTTGGCTTTCCTTCCCCGGCTGAGTCTCTTCTAGTGTCATCTTGTAGGCAGCGTCAGCGTGGGTTGCATCGCTTGAGTCAAGTGGGAGCGGGGTGATTTGCAGAGGGCCAGCTGCCCCGTCCTCGTGCTGGAAGGAAGTCCCGCGGGCCCATGCAGCATCCAGCTTGAGCACTCCCACAGGAATCCCCGTCTGGGGCGAAAGCAATGCTTGCAGGGTGGATCAGAGCCCCAGCAAGCACGGTTGGCGGCAGCTGCAGTGCAAGCACGTCCTTACCCGGTGATGCTCGCAGCACTTCGTGCCCGCACAGGTGATAGCTGCGAGCCCCGGCGCCTGCAGACCGAGTCCGGTGTGCAAGCTCGGGGGGCAAGGGCCGTGGATAAGACAGACGGCAATGTCTAATGCGCTGGGCAGCCGCTACCCGAGGTCCAGCTGTTGGCAGCTGCGGGCCAGGGGGATGCTTTGTCTTCCCCTGTGCGAGGGGTGCTGTGTAGCTGGCAGGCACGGCTCTGCCCCGGCAGGCACCTGGACCTGAGCTCCCCGTGCACCGCCATGGCAGAAGGGCGAGTGCCACGCTTGGCTTTGTAAGCAGGGGAGCGGCAAGGAGACGCGGGCTCTGCTTTGTGTGTGGCACTGGCGTGACCGACCCTGGCATGCTGCCTCTGGCTCTGGGGTGGACGTGCTTCCCAGAGAGACAGTGGATCCTCCCTCTCTTGAGCTGATAACGGTGCTTTTGTCAGACATGAGTTCTCAGACCCAATATTTGGATGAGTAGGTGGAAGTTAATGGCTTTGAATGATCTCGTGGTCCCATCTGACCCTGGGGGTGCATCTACATGTTCATCAATGCACCTTAGACACCCAAAGAGCCCATCCTTACACCAACACGGCTGCAACCAACACCCCTTAGATACTGCACATTTAATTTAGTGTTTGCTTAACAATGTACTAACTAAATGTGCAGTAACTAGAGTTATTGCGCAGTAGCACTGGCAGATGGTTTATTAGTGTATAGCCCTAATAACACTGCTATTTGCATGGTTTTTAACCGCCGGCTACTGCATGTTATTAGGCTAATGTGCAGTAAGTGTCTTGTGTAGACGCGCCCTGAAACAGATTCAGATGTTGGCACCAATCCCGCAATCATTTCCTTCCACCTGGTCGGATCCGAGGGAGAGTTCCCCCCTCCTCCCAGCCAGGAATGGGGTCCTTCAGTTCAACCCTCTTAGCCATGTCACAACAGTTAAAAGTCCATGTGTTTTATTAAGAAATATGACTCACATTAGAAACATGCAGAGCAGAATATTCTTGTCAGGCATCATCAGCAAGTAGTTAATTTTAGTTAATTTTTGCAGATGTGGAAGTTCCCAGCTCCGTTTCGACAAGTGGCCGCTTTGCCCCGATTTGTTTGCCAAACAGTCAATTTTCGGGATAACAGCATTTCACAAGAATAGCTCTTTAGAACATTTTCCCAAGCATTTGTGCCTGTGAATGACTGGGCTAGATCCAAACGGTACTGCGCTCGGTGTGCTCCTTCCCCAGAACTCTGTTTTGACTGCAAATGTAAGTGTAGGATGTAAATATATTCCTGATTTATGCCAGTGGGGAAGGAATTAGGCCCAAAATATGCACAAGATCTTCCAGTTAGTCATTAGTGATACCTGGACCATTCATATAAGCACCACGGGCGAAAGCCAACTCTGGTGAAACTCCCGGGAACGCAGTGAAGCGGCACCATGGGTGAATTTGCTGTTGATTTCTGCGCACAGCAGGCGCATTTGCTTCCCAGACTGCATTGCAAAAGGACACTGAGACAGGCTGGATTGAGATCCTAGTAGTCCGAGTTGGAGCGGAGGTGGTGAGGGTGGCCAACAACTGCTGATGCTACCTTTTCCAGTCTGAACAGAGAGAGGAGGTCGGATGCTGGAGCCGGAGCTTGGGCTAGGAGGGGCATGGCGTGTGCATGCTTGTGAAACATTCGTAAGGTCACTGCTCTTTAGCAGAAATCCCCTTAATGACTTCCTGGGAAAGGCTACATCTATAACGCTGACAGGTCTTGGATATACTCTGCAGATATACTCCAAGAAAGCCACTTCACTCGAACAGGAAAATTGCCACGGGTCATTCTTCCCTGCATTTAGCACTCGTCTTGAAGATACAAACCATTTTGGGCTTCGTGTCATCGATGTGCGTGGGCCATGGCTTTGCAAACTCTGGTTTTTCCCATTTTCCTTTTCACGTAATCACCCGGTGAGAGAGACTTGCTAGAGATGTAGGTCATTCTGGGAGTGAAATGAACCACTGAACTAGCAGCAGGAGGTGGGGGGACTGGCATCCAGGAGCAGAATGGCTTCAGCTCATCTCTTATAATTGCTGATCTTTTGATATATTTGCATCCTGCACTTATATTTTTGCTGTTGTCTGGTTGATTAGCAATTACTGCACAACTTCACTGACTACAGGGGGCTGTCCCGGGACGAAGACGGCCCAGTGTGGTTGCACAGGGGAGCATTTGCGGGCAAACTGAATAGACCCGTGGCCCCCAAATGAGGGAGACGGCAGCCACAGACTGTGTGTTATTTTCATGTGATTTTATTTTTTACACTTTTATTCAAGTTCAGTTCCTGGCTCTGGCACAAGCTGCCGGTGTGACCCCAGGGCCGGGGAGTCCCAAGGCACCGGGGGGAGTAGATGCCCCAATCTGGGCCTCGGTGCCTCATGAGCAAAGCAGGGATAGCAACGCTCCCTTTACCCAAGGCTTTTCCTGCCTTGCCTGTTTAGATCAGAGATTGGCAGCGTACAGCTCTCGAGCCGGATACGGCCTGCAGAGCCGTCGTGGGAGCTTTGTGCCGTGGATGGGCAGGGAGGGGAAACAGCGACAACTGGCCGGTTCGGGGGACACCAGCCCACCTGTCCCGTGGCTCCAGAGCCTTGCTGACCGCTGCTTTAGTGCATCAATTTTTCTGGGAAGAAACCCCCCTTGTCGTGTGTTCATGCAGCACCTGGCACCACGGGCCCCAGCAGATTCGGTGTCCGAAGCAGCTCCTGTAGTACCGCTCAGTAAATAATAATGCATAGAGTAGGAGAAGGAGACGGAGACGTCTGTCCACCGCGGGTTGTTTCGACTAGTAGTTTTGTGTCACACGCCGGCGTTCATTATATTCCCATGGAAATCTGACATTCACGTTGTTTCCTACCAGCCTGCTTTCCTTTGCCACTGCTAGTTTTGCCATCTTGCTGAAGGAGCCTGAAACGCGCGTGATTTCTCTCGTCATCTTTTTTCCCCCAGTCTCTGCGTATTCTTCTCCATTGCAGTTGTGCTACAGCTTGAAAAGGTGGGAATCAGACCCCCGTTGAGACCTACCCTCTCTGTCCCGTATTCACTAAGTGCTTTTGCAGAGGCTAAGGTCTTGGTACCGAGACAGGGGTAGTTTAGCGCGCCTGTATTTCCAGGCCGTTTCATTGTGATGGTCTCCCTGACATCCCACCCTGGCCCTGGGCCCCCAGAGCAGGGCTGTTTTGCCGTCGATGTGATCGCTGCTGCCGGCTGCGTTTTCTCCCTTTGCAGCGAGCAAGCGCCGTGGCCAGAGAGAGGGCTTTGGCCCCGGAGACGAGCTCGGCAGCGTGCCAGGACAGCGCGCAGCCTGCCAAGCAAAGCAGGGTGGGGAAGGAGAGAGTCCTCTTCCCTCGTCTCGCGTTTGTCATCCTGTCCTCAACAGATCTGCCTCTCGGCAGGAATAGCACGAGGTGTCAGACAGCAAAAGCCCACTCGAAGTTTGGTGACTTCTGGGGTTTCGTCTGGAGGCCTGGGGCTCGGAGACGCAGACGCTGCGCACAGCTACCAGTGTAGTGAATTCATTTCAAGTTTGCATGCCTTCAGCCTGGTTGCTGCGCTCTGGCTCCAGATCGCAGACCGGCCCGTGCGCGGGTGCCTCCTCGCTGCCCTGGCAGGAACACAAGGCGCCCGGGCTTTGGGGCCTCGCTGCCCTCCCCTGCCAGCCTGCGCTGCGTGGAGACAGGAGTAAGGCAAACCCTGCTTGGGTCTCACCAAGCTGCCTGCAGAGTACCAGCGAGTCCGACTGTGCTGGCAGCACCGCTCCCAGAGGCGCACGCAGCCTGCAGACATCCCTGCCGGGATGTCTGCACTCCCCGAGCAATACAGGCACGGGGCTGGATCCTGAGAGGTACTGAGCACCTGTCAGCTCCACTCAGGATCAGACCAAAACCAGCAAATACTTTGCCTTGAGCATGTGGCCACGATGCCATGGAGAAGGCGGCTGTTTATCTGTCAGACCCATTTCAACCCTATTGCATGGATCAGCCCTTAAAAGCTGGCTGGATGCAGCTCTCTTGCATGTGATTGATTCCTCCCTCAGTGGCTAAGAGTGTCTGTGCTCCCCGCATGCATGTCCCACGCATTTGCATTTTCACAGGTCTGCATTTTGCATGTTGGCTTCCACCCCACCCGGGAGAGCGCCCCAAGCCCAGCAGACTCTCCCCAGGCCTGAAGAAGGGCGGAAGCAGGCAAAGAATCATTTTTCCATCTGTTTAGTTGGTCTAATAAAAGCTATTGCATCTACCCAAATCTACTCTCATGCTCTCACAGTCTCTCCAAACCAGGGTTGCCCGCGCGTGTTGTAAATAGCCACCTCGTGTGCAACTGGGAGAGCATCTGCAGGGCAAAATGAATGTCAGAGAAAGGACAGCCCGGTAGCTGAGTTACAGCGAGACCTTGGGGAGGCGATTCAGTGCATGGATCCGCAATGGCATATAGACGGTCGAGACGGCAGCTCGTCCTCTTGCTGGAGCTGGAGTGCCATCTAGCGAGCCTCCGCACGGCAAAGGGGATTCTTTATTTCCTCCAGAGGATAGTGACGTGGGTTGAATGGGTTGAATACGCAGCCCCGCGAACGTAGGGCGCGCGTCCCTGCCCCGCGTGCTCCGGGCCTCGGCTTGTCGTAACGGTCTGTTTTTATTCCCCGTTCCAGGGATCTCCTCGCCCATTCCCGTCATGGGTTTGCAGGACGATTCCCGGGTGTTCGTCAAAGGGAGGTGCGTCCTGAACGAAAGGAACTTTGTCCTCATCGGGTCCTTCGTGGCGTTCTTCGTCCCGCTTGTCATCATGGTGATCACGTACTGCCTGACGGTGCAGGTGCTGCAGAGGCAAGCCACCGTGTTCATGTACGGGGAGATGCCCAAGCAGAGACGGAGCAGCATGAGCTGCCTCAAGAAGGAAAACACCACCGAGAACATCTCCATGCTCCAGAACCATGAGGGGACCTCTCACTTAAACTCCCCCGCGAACAAGGAGGCCGTGCTCTTTCGGAAGGGGACCATGCAGTCCATCAACAATGAGCGGAGGGCTTCCAAGGTCCTGGGCATCGTCTTCTTTTTGTTCCTTATCATGTGGTGCCCGTTTTTCATCACTAATGTCATGTCTGTGCTTTGCACGGAGACCTGCAGCGAAGACCTCCTGGCCGAACTCCTGGACGTGTTTGTGTGGGTGGGTTACGTCTGCTCCGGGGTCAATCCCCTTGTGTACACACTCTTCAATAAAACCTATCGCAGGGCTTTCTCCAACTACATCCGCTGCCAATACAAGGCCAATAAAACATCGACTCTGAGACAAAACCAATGTCCAAACGTCCCCTCTACAGCTTTGTACGGGAAGGACCTCAATTTAAACAGCTATCGAAATGGCAATGAATTCAACAGCATGGAGCTGGGTGACATTGAGGAAGGCTTAGAAATGCAGCCAGGGACTTCAGAGTTGTCGATAAATAGCTGCAATGTTGTAAGCGAAAGGGTGAGCTGCGTGTAGCAGAGCCCCGCGGCTGCAGCCGTCTGCGGCGATGCGTCTGCAGCCCAAACACGGTTGTGTAACAATGTGCGTCTCCGTCGAAGAGCGTTGTAAATACTGCTTCCGAACAAAGCTTTTTTTTTAAACATCCATCTTTCCGGTCCAGTACTTTAACTCATATATACATATATATATATACACAGATATATATATACACCGCAGTGAAGTTTAAGGTTCTATTTACTGTTGATACTAGATCAAAAACTATTCGTTACTTTGCTTATGTCACGGACTAAACGATGACTTCCTCTTCCAGTGCATGAACAAAAATGCTGAATATTTATCTCAGGTGGTGTTTGCTGGAGTCCAGAATGACCTATTAATACTTATATATTGAATACAGGAAAATGGTCTTGGTCAGTCTAACTTTTTTTTTCAGGTTGACAGTAAATATGTACTTTAATCCTCACCCATGTCAGGGGCCATGAAAAGGCAAGGAGTGCAGGAATTCATCTTGCCACAACCCTGGAAGGAAACCAGCGCCCCGCCGAGACGCAGCCGCGGCAGCCGGGGCACGGTAGACTTGATGTTGGGTCGGCTGTGACCGCAGGTCCGTGGCAGCCGAGATCGGTGGGCTCCTGGGCACTAAAACGTGTTCATTCATGTCCGCAGGGGAGGGGGGCCGTCCCAGGACCGCTGTGCAACCTCAGCGCGTTGGTGCGAGCTGGTCCTGGGATCCCAGCAGTGCTGAGGGATTGTCTGCCCTGCTCCGCGCCCCTGGGAGCATGCTGCCGGGGCAAGGCTCTGCCCACGTGGAGACAGGCCCTGCAGCTTCCCAGGCTGGGACACCCCACTTTGGCTTTCTGTTCTCAGCCTGCTTGGGGGCAGCAGCAAGGAGCACCCCAGGGTGCCAGGGCTAGCAGGCAGGCAGGTCTGCGCTTCTCACAGCAGCAGCTGGGGCAAGGGAGCGTGCAAGCCGCCGCACCCCCCACCCCATAAGCTTCTTGGCATCCCTTCTCTCCAGAGCACCCTCGGTTCATAGACGCCTGGCCCAGCCCCAGCCGCAGAGCCAGCAGTGGCCCAGACCTCACTCATGCCATGCAACATCTTCCTTGCAAAGGACAAATTGGGCCAGCGGCCAAGTCAGGAGGGACCTCAGACCTCTCCTGGCGTGCTGGTGCAGGGAGGTCGCGGGCCAGACCGATAGGATGTAGCCCCAGCAGGGCCAGCCCTCTGCCTTTGGCATCCCGTGGCACCAGGCTGTTCGTTTTACCCAGGAAAGAGAGCCCTGGTCCCAGAGAGCTCGGGTTTGCATCCTCTCCCAGTCTCTCAACTCGGCCATTTCTTTGCATGTTGACATGCTGCTTTTGCAGGTCCTGGGATTGGCAGGGTTAAAATTCAGGAGCGGGAGCTTTGCTTTCCATGCGCCATCCCTGCAGACGCCAGGCACCAGGCTTGTGCGGAGGCAGAGAGTGACTTGAAGGGGCGTCGGAAACCCCCGGGGCCAGGAGAGCCAGTCTGGGGAGCGCCGGGTGTCATCGCGTGCTGGTGGCGCAGAGCGGAAAGGAAGTCCTACCCCGCAGCAAGGAGGAAGGAAGCCGGGGGGAAGTTGTAGCTGAAGGCTGGTCTACATGGGGATGTTCAGGAAAGGTCATCTGAATTCACTTTGAAGTGGATTAAACTGTATTGAACCCTGGTGTGGATCTGAATGAGTCCACCTGACTGAAACGAGCTAAACTGATGCAACGTCCCATTGAAGTGAGCAAGCGCATCCACACCAGGTTGCAATGCAGGTGAACCAAGGCACTTGCAGTCAGCACACCTAGGTAATTTGGACTGATTTTTCCGATTGTGCCGCTGTCGGTGAGCTCTCGGGCACGTGCTGCTTGAGCCGGTGCCTTTGGGAGGGATACATTTCACGTGCCACCTCGTGCTCAGAGCATCACTTAGCATCAGATCTAGCCCGTACTGTTTTACAGCTCCATCAGCTAACGCCCAGATCTGACAATGCTGCTGCGCGGTAGGTGCACGTGGGAGCGTGTGGCAGCCTCTGCTTAGGAGCAGCTCGAGAGTAGCGTGGCTTGTTGCAGGTCCAGAACAAGTTGCATTTGACTAACAGAGCCTGGCTTTACTTGTTGGGTCTGTGAGCGGCAGATATCAAGGTCCGGGAACTGCCAGTCTGAGCTGCCGTTTTAGCGGACCGGCGATGCTGTTGAATCGCGCTGTATCCAGCAATCTGGATGGGGCCGTCACAGAAATACGACGTCCGGGCTTGCTCCCCTGAAGCCGACGGGTCTCGTTCACATCAGCGTAAAGCCAGAGTCATTTAATTGAAATCAGTGGGAAAGGGGGTGGTGCAGCAGTGGGGGCCCACCCTGCCACGTGTAGGAAGGCAGCATGCGCCCGGCAGGGACCAGCCACGGCCCCGAGCGTTACTTGCTGCTCCCACGTGCACCTCCCTGCAAGCATCAGTGCCGGCAGGAAAGGACTGAGCTGTTGAGACCAGCTCGCGTCCGTGGGGGCTGCCCCGCTCCCGGTTCAGCTTTGGGTCCTGCAAGCACCGGAGCAAATCGGAGCTGTGTTTTCTTTTGCTGGGTGTCTTGGCAGGGCAAATTCACAGCACGTCTTTTCCAAAACATAAATCTCGACATCTCTGTAGGTTGAAAAAGCAACCACAGACTTTAAAGCATCAAGCAATAAGTTGAACGACAAGAGCTTATAGCACGTGTGTGAATAGTTCACGTGTCCTGACATCCAAACATCTAGCAAAGTCCACTGGCCAGGGTCATCCTGGACTGGGCACCATCCAGCCAGTCCAGGCCGACTCTGTCGTTCGAGGGCAAAGAAAGCGCCGCTGTATTTGGATGTAAATACTGAGAATTTAACACCGAGTCTACCAAACTTTTATAGATGTTTAAAAACGGGAAACCATTTGAACACGAGAACTGTAAATATGGTAAGCGCTGCTTCTCAGCCGAGCCCATTTCGATGTACATGATCTGTTTAGACATGCAAGAGGATTGCCTTACAATCCCCCCACCCCGCCATCAGATGAGAAACATCTTTGTGAATGGTTCAATGCTGTCACCTACCCGACATCCCTTTGGTTCGTCACACCAGGGTTTTGTGATGCTGCTATTAATTTATTAAAGAAAGTCTGTTGATTTAATCATTCTTACTTAATTTTATTTTTATGGCTTTTTCATCAAAGCGATAACACCTCGTTTCCCCCTACCCTCCATTAAAACGTATACTTATCAAAAGAGCCAGAGCAGGTACTGGATTTTTTCCGACGGCTGCGGCCCAGGATCTTCACGCCAGCAAATGTCCTCACCCTTCCAGCCCTCAGAGAGGTGAGTCTCCACTTCTATGAAAAGTGACAGTGTTGAGGGGTTAAACAACGGTTGCATTTTGTCACGTCCTCCTCCCAACCGCTCGGCCTCTCCTGCAGTTACCTCTTGCACGCTTTCAGAAGTCCTGCTCTGGAGATATCTGGGGGAAGTGTGCGCTTGGGTCTCTGCTCAGACGTGATGTGCTTTACAACCACAACGTGCAGATCGCCTTGCTTTCCCCGAGACTTGAGCTGGAAGTGTGGAAACCCATCCTTGGAAGCGGCGGCGGGTGGAAGCCCTCCTTTCCCAAAGCAGCCGGGGAGAGACGCACACAGGTGGCCCAGGAAATCCTTCGCGGACCGGATCCCGGAGCTCGGGGTCACAGCTGCGGCGCCATGAACAGACCAGGGAGAAGGGGAAACCAGGCTGGTATCTCCTGGGTCAAACCCATCCTCCCACTTCACACGCGAGGCACGCCATTCGGTGGTACCGTTGGCACAAGCTGATCCTAACCCAGGATTTCCTTGACTGCCAAGAGCCTCCCACTGGTCCGTGCCCTTTAGAGGCCTGTTCGGGCTGCCATGTGAACCCAGCGGTGGGTTATCATTCGGTAACTGCAAGCTGCTTATCTTGTGCCCATTAGTTGTTCCTTTCAAGACATGGAGGACAGTATGGGCCCCAAATTTTGCATGATTTGGAGGCCGACAACCCGGCCTTGTACCCCTTGGGTCAACAGTAGTAACCCCTCAAGGGTCCCGGGGGCCCAAAGCCAGCGTGGGGATTCAGGCGTCACGTCCGTGCCACGCACGCACCGGGGCAGGGAGCTGTTTCTCGGGGCAGCCCTGCTCTGTCCGGGAGGATGACTCATGGGTCGGGAGCAGGTTTTGGTTCAGCCCAGGCCAAGAGACGTTATATCAGAGAGCGGGCAAGTGCCGGACAACAGAGGCTGCAAGCAGACGTCGCCTCTGTCCTGCCGTGCAACTTCTAACGGCAGGACAGCACATGGGTGTACAGACGTCTCTGCCGCGATACTCCAGAAAAGTTGCACGATGGTCCCTGCTATCAGTTCTCCGTGCTTTATCGTGGTGGATGTCTGTACGTTCATGGCGCAATATGCCCCCTGTTCCCTTCCCCCAGGGATTCCCCTGTCCCAACCCTGCGTGTGCATCTGCGAGCACAGACTGGGGGGCTCCCTAAGCTTTCAGATGCATGCCCTGGGTCGGGGCCAAGCAACCAGAGCCATTGTCCCATGCAATCAGGCCCCTGAAGCCCTGGAAGTGACAGGAGCCCAGCCCCGTGGTCCGACGTCCCTACCTGCCAGCATCGCAGCAGCTGTGCCACGACACGAACCAGCACGGCTGATCCAGCCACAAAAGCGATGGCTGTGTGTAGCCAGAGTCCTGCTCCCATTCAGTCCCACTGGAAAGGCATCCGCAGCCTCTGCGATGGACCGCGACCCAGCGGTACCAGCGGCCAGTGCTATAGGGAGGTTTGGAGGGTCACACGCAGCATCAGCACACGCAGCATCACGCCTGTTGTCACGCGTGGCAGGGTATGGGGCTGCAGCTCCGTTTGTGGGCACTGAGACGTTGCAGCGACTGCCCCGTGATGAAGCAGCCTGAGAGCACAGGCAGACTTCGCCGGGGCTGGGCTGCTCCCCGGTCCAGCATCCGCGAGCTGCCCCTGGGTCAAATGCTAGGAGCTGCAGGCTCCACCCCACGCACGAAGAAGGGGCATCAGGGGAAGCTGATAGGAGAGGGATCCAAGCCAGCACGGCATTGAGCACACAACCTCACGTATGCACACGTACGTACACACACGCAACACGGCCTTGCAGGAGGGAGCGTGGCTCTTTGGCCCTGACTTGCTGCCCTCATCTTGCGGGTTCCCAAATACCAGCGCAACCGGGGGCCGAGAGGGAGGTAACATGAAAAAGAGAATTATAACGCATGCCGCTGCTGCGGGTTTTTATTGCGGTGATTTTACTGACACGTCTGTTTAGCGTTGTGACAGCTGCACCCACGAGGAAGCTCGTCCTCCCAGGTCTGGCTTTGCTCGTCCTGGCAGAAGTCAGCACGTAACTCTGCCACCCCGGGGCCGCACAGCAGTCGACTGGCAGACACGCCTGCTGATGCCATGCAAAGGAGGCTTTTCCTATTTACTGCTGAGACTAGATTAAAAACTATTCGTTACTTTGCTTATGTCACGGACAAAACAATGACGTCCTCCTCCAGCGCATGAACCAAAATGCTGACTATTTGGAGGAGCGGTGACGCGTGACTCCAGAAGACAGAGGTGCAGAACAGCAAGGTACGGTCACAAAATGTTTCTGGACGTGAGAGCCCAGGAGTGGCAGGCAGCGTGCGGAGAAATCTTTGCCTCCTTGGAGCAAAGACCCTGGACGCTCGTGTCAGAGTCGCTTGATTACATATGGCCCGCTCACGGCGGTCAGTCATAGGCAGCTTCTCCTCTCAGCCTGCTGCTGCAGGTACTGCTAAAGGTCTGGCAGGGCACGAAGAAGTAGATGCCAGGCCATGTAAAGCATGTACTTCGCGATGCCCAGGATACATGTTGCACAGAGAAACATTGCATTTGTACGTGTTACGGCCCCTTGATCCCTCTTTGGTCTCGTTTCAGCAGCTGCATAATGATATAGAGCAACCCCTGGACTACCCTAAACTGCAACACCTGATAACAGCAGCCAAGGGGCCTTCTGCCAGTTAGCTCAGGTTATCGTGCCCTGTGCCGGGAGGCTGCATCGTTTTCAGCCCTTTAGCTCTCCAAAAGGGCTTCCCCTCGTCCGCACTTTGCAGGCATGCGGCGTCCAGCTGCATCCACTGCGAGAAATATGCGCCGTTC